ACTGCCCAGGCCATGTGCCCCAGAGCTCTGGCCATGTGCCCCCAGCGCCCAGGCCATGTGCCCAGCGCCCAGGCCATGTGCTCCCAGTGCCCAGGCCATGTGCCCCAGAGCTCAGGCCATGTGCCCCCAGTGCCCAGGCCATGTGCCCCCAGTGACCAGGCCATGTGCCCCCAGTGCCCAGGCCATGTGCCCAGCTCCCAGGCCATGTGCCCCCAGTGCCCAGGCCATGTGCCCAGCCCCCCACCCCCTCTGTAGTTTGCAGATGGCGTCATCTTACTCCTGCTGATTGGACAACTGGAGGGCTTCTTCCTGCACCTGAAGGAATTCTACCTCACGCCCAACTCCCCCGCGGAGATGGTGAGTCTCCGGGGACATCCCCTGCGGGTCTGCCTCTGAGGGGACCGGTCTGTGCAATTGGCACGGCCCATCTTTCCTTACTCCCTCCAGTGACGTGAAGGGTGGAGAGGACGTTTGTTTGCCCGTACGTCCTCTCATCCACCCACCCTCCCACCCACCCGCACATCTATCTGTTGTTGACTTGCCCATTCACTCATTCACCCAATTACTTAAACCCTTCACTTGCCGCCCATCCATCCATCCATCTATTCATTCATCTGCCCATCCACCCATCCACCCAGCTTCCCATCCACCCACCCATCCACCCATCCATCTATTCACTCATCTTCCCATCCACCCATCCACCCAGCTGCCTATCCACCCAGCCACCCATCCATCCATCCATCCATCCATCCATCCATCCATTCACTCATCTGCATGTCCACCCATCCACCCACCCGCCCATCCACCATGCACCTGGCCCCTCATTCCCGAGGCCCTGCTTGGTGACAGGCCCTGTGCCGTGTGGGCCAGAAAGACAGCCCAGCACAGCTCCTGCTTTGCGAGCCCCCAGTCCATGCTCCCCCACCCCCACCGCCCCCCGTGCTCTCAGCGATGCACAGTCTTCCAGGGCTCCTGTGGGTGGGTCGGGGGATCTGAAGGAGAGAGTGGTCAGTAGAACCGGAAGAAATCAGGAGAGACATTGCCTAGAGGGGACCGTGTAGTTGGTTAGGGCCTGGTCTGCTGAGTCAAACCCTAACCACTGGGGAACGGTGCCAACAGAGGCTCCACTGTGGACACAGCACAGAGATCTCAGGGCGGCTGGGGCTGCCAGGGCAGCGGGGGCCTGACCCCGTGGGTGTCAGGGGTCCCCTGTGGGCCCTGGATGCTGGCTGGGAGATGGCCGCCTTAGTCCTGGCAGGGGTCTGTGGCCTGGCCCGGGGGCGGATGGAGAGAATGATGCTGCTGGGGGAAGTGACAGGAGGAACCTCAGGAAACAGCCCCACAGCCTTGGTGCCTCGTGGGCCCCTGCTCCGCACCCCTGCCCCCCGGCCTTCCCCAGTCGCCCAGGCCCCGTCACACGCGCCTTCGCAGTTCCTGGCATATGTGCCGCTCCCTGACCTCTGGGCATCCGCGCAGGCTGTTCCCCTGACTCAAACGCCCTTCCCACATGGACTTCCTGCCAGCGAGGGCATCCTTCTGACCCCCGGGAGGAGACTGAGGCCCACACGGGCAGCAGCTGGTCGCTGGCCCGTGTCAGGAGGACCTGGCAGAGGGCTCTGGCTCCTTCCCTGCCCGCTGCCTGCACCTCAGGCTTCTTGTCCCTAAAATGGGCTCACAAACCCCCAGTGGCCCCCAGTCATGCAGATAATAAGAGTTTGGGGAACCCGGAGTGGGGAGCACCGAGGGGCATGTGGCCCTGGTCCCCGCCCACCCGGGGCTCAGCGAGTCCTCGTGAATGAATACCTGGCAGGAGGCGGCGTGGAGGTGTGGTCTGTGGGAACCAGGGGGCTGGTGGCCTCCCACCACCCCAGGCGGCCAGCTCATCTGTGTCACACAGGGTCCCCTGGTCCGCTTAGCGCCAACCAGTGCAGGAGGGCAACCCCTTATCTCTCCGCACCAGCGGCTCTTCCTGGGGGCACTTCTGGGAGGACGGAAGGTTCCTGTCTCCTTTGATGTCCCCGAGTGTCTCTGGGCCTGCCGGGGGGTGTAAGGCTCACACCCTTGTTCCTGGCTCAGTTCTAGGCCCCCCACTTGGCCTTTCTCTAGGTCCCTTCCTCAGCCCCTCACATCTGGGCCTTGCACCTTGCACCTTGGGGACCTGCCTTCAGTGGGTGTGGTCCATGCCTTCAATGGGCATGGTTCATGCCTTCAGTGGGCGTGGTCTCCACCATCCCAGGAGCAGGGCTGATCCCCACTCCAAGGATGATCCCAGCAGCGGGGAGCAGTGTAGCTCACTCACTCGTGGGCCTGGGGGTGTGGGAACAAGGGCAACACACGCCCGGTTCTTACCAGTCACTGGGCAGCAGGCTTGTCTGTCTCCAAAGCCAGCGCTGCCTCCCCGTTCGCTTCCTTCCCCCGAGGGAGACGGCCAGAAGGAGGCTGGCCCCAAGCTGCTGGGATGGGGCCGGGCTCCAGAGGGTCAGGGCTGGGCCGAGGCTGGGGTGCTGCCCGTGTCCCGGACGCTTCCTTCCCCCGAGGGAGACGGCCAGAAGGAGGCTGGCCCCAAGCTGCTGGGATGGGGCCGGGCTCCAGAGGGTCAGGGCTGGGCCGAGGCCGGGGTGCTGCCCGTGTCCCGGAGACAGGACTCTGACATGTGAACAGTGAGGGGGAGGCGCGGGCAGGACGCACGCAGGCGGGGCCCCAGAGCGGCACAGCCCTCTGTGACTCAGTGCTGGTGGGACGTCATGGCTCACGCTCATTATCTTGCTCACCTCCAAACCCCGGGGACAAGCCAGGGACACGCCCGCACCACCGATCTGAGAGCCGGCTGCTGAGGACGAGCCACCGGAATGTGGGGAGCGGCAGCCTCCTTGCTCGGCCCCGGAGTGAGTTGTAAGGGCCGTGACTGGAACCCTCAGCTGCCGGAATGGATGCAGGACACGCTGAGGGGCATTACCCAGCGAGGACAGAACAGCAGCCCTTTCGGAGGTGGGGCCCAGGACGTGCCACCTGGCAGAGCGACCCGACCCTCCTCGCCAGCGGTGTTTGCGCGCGATTGCCGACTGCCGTAGGGATGGCGGGAGAGATGTCTGTCCTGGGACTCAGCCCCGGGGACAGCTCCGTCCTTCTGCCCACATTCAGCATGGCTCCTCGGAGGGTCTGAACGCGTCCTCCTGGTCGCAACCTCCCCTCGGCTCCGCGGAAAACCACGTTTCACCTCCATCGTCGCCAACCCACGCGGAAGGAACGTGGTGCCCGGGCAGAGCGCGGAGAGGCATCGGGGCCGGGCAGCTCCTGGCTCAGAGCGAGGAATAAGTGAACGAAGGAAGTGTTTCCAAAACACTGGTCTCAGGGACCCTGTGGCCAAATCACGTGGGAAAACACGCGTAGTCTTCAGGTTCACGACACCAGGACACACTCAGCAAAGGGTTTCTTTCTTTCTTTTTTTAAAAAATATATTTGATTGATTTTTTACAGAGAGGAAAGGAGAGGGATAGAGAGTTAGAAACATCGATCAGCTGCCTCCTGCACTCCCCACTGGGGACGTGCCCGCAACTAAGGTACGTGCCCTTGACCGGAATCGAACCTGGGACCCTTCAGTCTGCAGACCGACGCTCTATCCACTGAGCCAAACCAGTTAGGGCAGCAAAGGGTTTCTTGTCACTGTGCTCAACCAGCATTTCCCCAGCCGGTTTGGTCACGGACTCACCTCCGTCTCTACCCCGGGTCAGAGGCAGGGCTGCGAGGCGTGAGCGTGGGGCTCCTCGCTCCCAAGGTGACTGTGCAGCCCGGGAATCGTGTTCCTGAGAATGTGGACAACAGCAGCCATCCAACCCTCATTTTCCAGAATATTCCAGTCTGGGGAGAAGACTTGGGGACACAGTGACGGGACGCGAGGTGGGCTCGGACCTGCTCCCTCCGAGGTGCCCTCCAGCCCCCGAGGCGTGGCCTGCTGGGGGCCGGGGCGGCTCTTGTGTCTTCACCTTGGCTGACTGAGAGGGGCCAGCCCTGCGGGCCGCCGGCCCCGCTCCCACTCTTGCATCCTGGACCTGCGCCGGCTCAACCCCTCTGTCTGTCCGATGCTCCAACACCAACTGCTCACCCACCTTTCAGACCCCAAGGCTGGGCCCGCGGCCCCTCGCAGCCCCAGGGAGCCAACTGCCCGGAGGATGCCAGCCTCTGGCCCCCGGGCACAGCAGGAGTCCATGGGGGCAGGCAGAAGACACTCCCCCACCCTGCCCAGTGCCCTTGGGCCAGGACTGCGACCCACACCCCTACTCCCTCGGGGAGAGTCCTTTCTCAGGGGCCTTGCAGCCCTCCTACGTGTCCCAGATACGGGAGTTGGCAGGTGGGTAGAGCTCGCAGGGTGCCTCCCATTCCTGTCCATCGTCACCTTGGACCCGCACGGCAGCCTGGGAGCGGCAGGCGGGACGGTGGGCTTTTCCACGGCACCGAAGAGGGACTGAGCCCAGCCAGGCCCCGTGACTTGTCTGACCTGTGACCTTTGACCCGGTGGGGTGATCCACAGACATACAGCCTAGATCTCAAGATTCGACCTGCCCAGACTCCCAGGTAACAGGAGGCAGCCTGGGCAAGGCTGGACTCCGCCCCGCCCAGCCCTGCCTCCAGGCCCTGGCTGGGTTGCCATGGGAACTGCCTGGCTTGTGTGATGCCCGCTGTGGGCGGGCTGGGAAGGCTGCCACCAGTCTGGGATGTCCAGCCCCCAGTGGACCATGGGAGGAAGGACCTGCTGGAGGCCCCGGGGAATCAGGGGTTCAGCCAGCTTTAGGGCTCGCTGTCCACTTCACCCCCCCTCTCTGCTGCCACACAGAAGGGTAGGCTCTATCGGATTGGACCTGAGCCCCAGGGGTGAGACTAGATGTGAAAGGGAGGTGACCCCCGACCCAGGGTCTGCTCTGAGCCCCCGGCTGACAGGGCTCCCCACCCGGTATCCCCTATCAAGGCACGGGGGAGGGGTGGTGACCCCACCCCGCAGGTGAACAAGGGGAGGCCTGGGACCAAGAGACCTGCTCCCCGGCTCAGGCCATCCAGTGACCAAGCCGGAATTAGGGCCCCGGGGGGCCTGGGCCGGGCGGCTCTGCCAGCCTCCAGCCTGCCTTGCACGGGCATCAGAGCGAGACAGACCTGGTTCCAGCCCTTCCCATCTTGTGAGTTTAGATATCCCCGTGGCCACTGGGAGCCCCGGTCTCCTCATCTATGCTTTGCCTATGGAACACAGTTGGCTCTGAGGGCATCTGTCACCCACAGGGTCGGGGGCCACCTCAGAAGAGGCCAGGAGGGACTGGTGCTCCTACCCCTGGCTAAGTCCCCTCCCCTGGCGGACTTACCTCCAGGCCGCCTCCACCAGGAAGCCTTCCCTGACTGGCGGGCTGGGTGCTCTCCTCAGTGGCTGCATTCCCACTAGAGGTGGCCTCCTTGGTGCGCGTTGGACGTCATGGATGAGGGTGGGCCTGCCATGGGGGCCCAGGGCCTGGGTTGGGGCTGCCTTGTTTTGCCAACATCTGGGTGGGTCTTGTTGTTGTAGCTGCACAATGTCACCCTGGCCCTGGAGCTGCTGAAGGACGAAGGCCTGCTCGACTACCCTGTCAGCCCCGAAGGTGAGCGGTGGCCACGGGGGCCTCAGGCTCTGGGCGGGGTACGCAGAGAGGGGGGCGGGGACGGGGGAGGGCAGTGCCGGTAGGTGCGCTCCAGCCTCTTGCTGCTGTGGGGGATGCTGTGTGGGACACTGTGGCTTCACCCCGCGGGGGAGGACCCGGGGAGAGGAGATGGGGGACGAGTCCCCGGTGATGGGCTGCCAGAGAGGTGAGACCCTGAGGAATTTCTGCACCGGAAGAGGGGTGCCGGGGAGGATGGTGGGAGGAGGGGCAGGGCCGTGCGACGGGTCCTGCCTCGGACTCAGGCTGGGCGTGCCCAGCTGCCTGGCCTGCCGGGGTTTGGGGAGTTGAGTTAGCACTGAAGCCCCAAGCCCCAGGCCACCCCTGGGTCCCGGCACTGGGACGGTCACCCCCGGCCCGGCCTGACCGGCCGCCCTGCTCTCCCTGGCACAGACATCGTGAACAAGGACAGCAAGAGCACGCTGCGGGTCCTCTACAGCCTCTTCTGCAAGCACAAGCTGAAGGACGGCCAGGCCGGGGGGCCGCGGGGACC